AACCGGCCCGAGCCAAATTTAGCCCATTTGGCTCGAGCCAAACCATGACCGCGTGAACGCGACTATAATCTCTTCCTGGTTCCGATGGGCCGACTCTCTATCGTTATTATTATTATCGCGTACGTGACAAAGCTTGCGTGTAGGACGATAGACCCTTATATAATCACGAGCGCGTGATATGAGCCAGCATATCTGATCTAATCATTGCGACTCCTCATCTAATCATTGGCTATCGACGAGCGCACACATTTTAATCGTTGTTGTATCGAAACACGCAGTTAGGTAAACCGAAAGCCAACATTTTGTGTCAGACATTCTGGGTCAGACGACGTGACATGTCGATCACTGTGAAGGTCATCGCTAATATCGGCGTCAAAACATACCTGTTAGCACAAGCACTGCCTAGCCACGTCCAATCAATTCCATAACGCCCACGTGCAACTACTCTATAACTAACACTCTCCTTTACTAATGAACCTACACGCCCATCCTCAGCCGCTACTGACGCACATTCCAACTAACGCACCACCCATCGCAAGCAAAGCACAAGCACACTAACACACACGCGTGCACACACGTACACGCACACGAACACGCATACACACGTACACGCGCACTCTCACATACACTCACACTCGCACATACACGCACACGCACGCACATATATGCACTGACACGCGCACGCACATACGCGCGCGCGCACACACACACGCATATATACATGCACACGTACACGCACCCGCAAGTAAACGCATATACACGCGCCTGCACACGTACACGCGCACGCACGCACGCACGCACGCACGCACGCACGCACGCACGCACACACGCACACGCAATCAACGAACACGTGCATGCAAAGTTACATAGCGAAGCATAGAGAAACACTTACTTCTCTACTGATACGTTGTCTTCCACCATATATTGCGTTGATCCCATCTGAAAAGAGTCACGTCGACAGTAAATGCGGCAACCTGTACGTACGAAGGCGCGAGCGATTCGCGACGCAGGCCGATTCGCGAATGTAGCGGAAACTCTCTACTCGCCAACACGAACACATCTAGCGATCGAGCAGATCGCACACGCGTACAGACACGCGCCGGGTGGCGTATGCCACTAGACACAGCTATAGCTAACGAGGATGATGGATGCAGCAGCTTCTCCTTGCACAGATGAACGCGAGTGAAAGCGAGGAGAGAGAGAGAGAGAGAGAGAGAGAGAGAGAGAGCGAGCGAGAGGGGGAAACGCGGAGGATAGAGAGAGCGTGTGTTAGATGGGAGGACAGGTGAAGCACAAAGAAGGAAAGAGGCCTCGAATAGAATAGAGAGAGAAAATGAGATACCGTGAAAAAGAGGAAGAGAGGTGACTGATTTAAGCAGAAAGGAGAAAAGAGAGAGAGAGAAAGTGGAAGGAAAAGAGAAAGAGGAGAAGAGAAAGGCAGTGAAAGAGAGAAGGGGGGGGGGACAAAAGAAAAACAGTGAAAGAGAGAGAGGAGAGAGTGGGAGAGAAACAGAGAAAGCAGAGAGAGAGAGAGAGAGAGAGAGAGAGAGAGAGAGAGAGAGAGAGATCGCGCAACAGAGAGATGCAGGGAGAAAGAAGAGGGTGGAAGAGGGCAGAAACAGAAGATACGGAAGAGACAAGCGGCGGAAAGTGCGCGAATGAGAGAAAAACCACCCCTGTCATCACACAGAAGCTACAGGCATATACTATCACCGTACAAAGAAAAGGTGGACAGGCTGTTTTAGCGCATGCAATGGCAGCTGCGTACTGCCGCACGCACATACGCAGAGTCCTACATATAAGCCGTGCAGTCGCACATTCAATAATGTGCCTCGCGTGTGGTTAGCAGACGAACATGTGATGTGCATTGTCATGACGTCACCCACCTCTGAAGTCAAAATAGCAACTCGCCAGCAAATCGTAAGAGGTGTTCGCTGACACGGCGATGCTTATTCGCTATCGCCGCGCGCTCTCTCTCATCGGGACACTCTATACACACAGACACTACGCGAGGACATCGGAACGACAAGCAAATTATAGCTATACGTATTATATGTATATATATTTATTTCTATTTTTTTATTTATATATATATATATATCTCCGGTATAATATATATCACGGCTCCGCTTCCGTGAAGATTCCCACAGAGTGTAAAAGCCAGGTTTCCCCCTTATGTTTCTCCTCACGTCTGTTTTCACTCCTACCATTCTCTCTATGTCTGCCCATCCCTTTTTTTTCAGCGTCTGTCTCTGCTCATACCCTTCTGGCCATGGCTTTTCCCACCCTTACCCTTCTCTCTATAGTTGTCTCCACCCCTTTCCATTTCTCCATAGTAAAATCCACACCAGCGCCTTTTCCCTCAGTCTCGTCTTCCCGGTCCTATTAAAAACTCGTTCCTTATTTATAAGGAAAACATCAGATCCGTCGCATTCCCTTCACCTTCTCACCCCCCCCCCCCCCCCCCCCCCCATCTCGCCCCTCATTCTGTTCCCTAAAAAACGCATACATTACCATCGAATACGTCATGCCAAGGACTTCACAGAAAACGTGCAGGGAATCACACTCTTACAGCAGGCTTGCAACAGCAAACAGAACTTTTATCATGTACGAACACCTGGAAACAGATCTAGAGTTGGTCTTCGCATGCAAAATGGAACTAAATCTGATCTACTGAACATAAGCTGGACTATACGGCGCGCTTATCTTTACACCAGCGTGTTTATGGACGCGAGATGCGGTTACGCACCACGTGTGTAAAGTCCGTCTAATCTACGGCTGGTATGCGCGCGCACCCACACACATATGTGCGTGTGCGTCCACGCGCATGTGTGTGTGTGTGCGCGTGTACACACAAATAACACCAATCATCACCTCTAACCAACGAAAACCTCCATCACGGAGAAAATCGTCTTCATGCTCTATTGCTATAGCAACGCCGCGCAGCATCCGCGGTGAAGGAATATGAAATCACTATCCCGGCAGCGAACCCTGGATCTATCTCTCACAGATGAACGTGCACGCATTCACTTTGACGCAGCGGCAGACAGCAGCCCGCGAGGCGACTATCCAGTAGCACGCACACCATGCGACCGTGTGGCGCACGCACGCACGCACGCACGCATGCGCGCGAGCGTGCCGCCGGGGTTTTCTTTATAAGCGATAAACGTAATAAGCGATAAGCGATAAGCGATTACGACGAATCGAATTTACACATTATGCACGTCTCTCTCTTTATATCTCTCTCTCTCGCTCTCTCTGACTGTCTCACTCTCTTCTACTTCCGCTCACACACTCTCTCTACCCATCGCAGCCGCCGATGATGCCCTGCTGCCCGTTACACCGATTATAACCAAACCGATTGGCTTAATTTGATCACAGCGCCCATGATCGGTTTTCGATACGGCGGCTTGCGTACATGCGGCGGCGGCGATGTGCCTTCACGTACGTGTGATGCACATGCAGTATACTTAAGGGAGCGATGCCACCTCTAAAAGCAACTTATTAGTGACGTTTCACCGTTTTATTTGCATTCAGTTATATTGAATGTCAGTGGCACAGGCACTTGGAGCGTCTCGATAAAAAAATAATGGTAAATAAACACGAAATGTATTTACTAACAAATTCTTAATGTTTCTCTACTCTCTTTCGCCTATTATTGCCGATAACTTGCTGTAAATGCCGTTGAAATGCTCCTCTGCAACACACAAGTACACCGCACGCACGCCACCGTGCACAAACAATATGAATATAAGAGAGAATTATCGGCAATAATAAGCGAAAGAGAGTAGAGAAACATTAAGACTTTGGTAGTAAATACATTACGTGTTTATTTACCATTATTTTTTTATTAAAACGTTCCAAGTGCCTGTGGTCAGTGGATATGCGTTTGTGCTTGTGTAGCAGCGTGCTACGCGATTTTAAGTTATCTATTAAATTAGCTCTAAGTTAAGTTATAAGTCTTCTACGCCTAAGCCTATGGTTAAGATATCCCACATCGCGATGACATCATCGCTAAACCTGAGCGCGGTTAAGATTGGCCTTAGAAACACAGGCAGCGCGCACTGACCTATATATGATATATTATATATATTATATGATATATTATAGTGACCAAATCCTAGTGTTGTCGCAACCTACAACCATGTTTTAATTGACTTACAATGGAGTAGAATTTCCGTTATAACATACACCTTAGTAGCGCACAGAGCACGTGCCTAACGTGTGCCCTTGGTTTTCTAACTGCGTAGAAGGGCGACCGCGTAGTAAGGGCGTGGCCCAATGACCAGCCAGTTCTCCGGACACGTGACCCGGACCTGTCCGCATAGCAACAACACTACCGTTATTATACGTACGCGCGATGGATATAGAAGACCCAGCGCGCGCCGCGACAGTAGTAGTTTATGCAGAACAGTTAGGAGAGTGAGCCACACACACGTCGCCGCGCGACGGTGACAGTTCAGCCGCGGTTTTGTGTAGTGTGTAGTCAGACGCATATAATCTGTATTTGAAATTACCGAGTAGAATAAATCATCTATAGTACGTAATCTACGTGTTCTCATATGTCATGACACGATCGTGCTCAGCTCTCACTCTCAGCGTACTCGCACAAGACGCGCATATCTCATATGTACTCCGTACAAAGCTTCCGTGATATCTGCGAACGCCGGACCTGGAAGCTAAGACATCGCAAGGTACTCGAACATTATATAGTTATATGATCACAGCCATCGCGCCGCAGTATCATTTGGGCCAGTGACTAGGGATGCTAGTGATCTTGCATCACTTAGTATCGTACGTCGGGTGACATCATTTATCCGATATCGAACGGCATTGAGCAACGCACACGCGAATGTGTGAGGAACTTAATCAACACTAAGTCGAGATATAACAATCATAACAACCACCCATCTATATCATTTGGTGCCGTGACCAAGATACGCCGCAGCAAGGCAAGAGGGAGGAAAGCGCCTAAGGAACAGAGTTAAAGGACTCTTGGCGAGCGCATGAACGAAACGTTGAGAGATTCACTGTATCTCCTTCCATTGTGTACCACTCCGCCCCTTTCGTGAAGGCTTGAAATTAGCACTACGCGTAAAATTAGCACTGAGCACGCATGTGAGTGTTGTACGCGCATGTTTCACGGGGAACGCGAGAGTGAATACGATGATCATTAGCTATGATTATCAGTGCTGTACACGCATGCCATTCGGTTATGGCTACGACGATGATCATCCGTTATGATTATCAGTACGATACAAGCATGCGATTTCGGTTATCAAGTCGGTTATTATTACGATGATTATTGATTATGGTTATCAACGTTGTTTTTGTTTACATTGTGCATGCGCGCGTTAGTTTAAGGAAAGATTTAGTTCACATATCGCGATCATAGTGCACGAATTCACGTGGTAGTAGTAGTAGCAGGAGTAAGATAATATAGGATATATTATCTTATCCTATATATCCTATATTATCTTACTCCTGGTAGTAGTAGTAGTTGAAACTAGTTGTAAGCGCGAAACGCTATGCGCAACGGCATACGCGACGCAAGTAGTACGGGTAACTCTTGGGACGCCTGTACCCACGGCCTTATGTCACCACGTACTTATGTTAGTTAAGGAAAGTCTAAGTTTATATATCACGAGTATAATGAATGAGCTTTTGACATTTGACCCCCAGCTTCGACATCCCAACTCGTTTTCGGATTACCCCCCCCACGTCCCGAATATCGTGACCGTACGTCGAGCGGTTAAGATTTGTGCCCAACTGTTGACGCACGGACGCACGCTCATGCGATTCTACAAGCTGCATCTGACTATTCATCATCATCTTCTTCATCTTCTTCCTCGTTCGATACTTGCATCTTCACCGCGATATACGATTGTTTCTTGTATCGTGACTTGTATTGGCTTTTACGTACCCGCCGGCTGGGTATTCTGTAATTGCTCGCGCGTACACACACCTGTGCTTTTGTCTCGGATTGCCTGTCTGTCTGTCCGTCTGCCAGTCTGTCTGCACGCCTGTCTGCCCGTCTGTAACGCCGCGCTACGTCACGCTACGCTACGTCACATAACGTCATGTTATACCTACTATGTGGCATAAGATTACGCTACGTTACATCATTACCATACGCGCCACGATACTCTACGTAACGCCATGATTCGCTAAACTACGCCGTGGTATGCTACGTTACGTCACGATGCGCTACGATACGCCACGTTTCGCTAAATTTCGGCGTTACATTACGTTACATTACATTATTACATTACAATACGTTAGGTCACGTAAATGCAGTGGCTACTCGATGGAGCCATAGCTGAATGAGAGAACGCCCGTGCTGCTGCCAGCCAGCGTTGACCGATGACCTTGACTATGACCTCCGCCTAAAGTCACATGAGCCGGCACGTGTACACGCGCGTGACCTTGCGGGTGCAAATATCGTGACCGTACGTCGAGCGGTTAAGATTTGTGCCCAACTGTTGACGCACGGACGCACGCTCATGCGATTCTACAAGCTGCATCTGACTATGTCAGATGAGCTAAAAACGCATTTTATAGGAGTGGTCGTATACTACTAGGGTAGAATTGCATCCACTGCATAGTTACAACAATTACAGAGGTTCGTAGTGTTATAAACAGTAGCGCAGTAGCCGAGAGTAGGCGAGAGTGTCGGAAATCGCACACCTATTATACTGTTTAGATTCCGGAACATACTTACCAGCTTATTGAGATCTCGTGTGTTATACATGGGTACAGCGTACGTGCGTATGTAGGCATTATGTGCACACAATTTTTACCCGAGATAAAACCTACGCTATCGTCTCAGCTCGTATCTCCGTTTGCCGAGTGCAACATGATTTGGCAGGTGAGACAAAAATTCACATATTATACCTACGCGCATGAGAAATATTAGCTCTAGTACTATATAGCCCTTCGCTCGGCCGCAGTACTATAGAACTTTCTATGTTGAATCCTGTCGCTTTTTCTGCTCCCACTGCTCCCACGAAAAATGGCTTACAAAACGCAAAATGATCGAACCTTTTAACACTTATTTATCTAAATGGACCTCTCACCTATCGTTTTGAACAGTTTTCACAACTTTACACCATGTATGTATGTATTTATTCCTCAAAGTGCTAGCACTACTTGCGTTTCGTTTGAGATGCTGTCGCGTACGCGCGTGACGTCACCCGAAATGTAATAGGCTGCACCATAGCTGCCCATGTGTTTTGT